CTTAAATGGGGTGTGTGTGTGTGTGTGTGTGTGTGTGTGTGTGTGTAGAGAGAGAGAGAGATGGAGAGAGAGGGAGAGAGAGGAGAGAGAGGAGAGAGAGAAGAGAGGGGAGAGAGAGGAGAGAGAGGGAGAGAGAGGAGAGAGGAGAAGAGAGAGCAGAGAGAGCATGGAAAGCACTAGAGCAGGGTGCCCCGGGCTATCTGTACCCCACCACACCCCCAGAGTCTGGGGTTCAGTCGGGGGCATGGAGGGCACCCACACTGGGCTCTCTGGAGTTGGTCAGAAGACACTGTGATGACTCTGCCTGAGGGACAGCATCAGCTGTAGTTTCCAGTTGACATTACTTTAACTCCCCTTCCCACCGCCTTTCTGCTGAACTGGACTCCTGCCTAGCCCCCTGGCCGGCCTTGGCCACTTCCTCACAGCTCCAGGCTCTGACCTAGGACCTCAGCCAGGATCTAGTTTTACTCTCCCTTCCCCTCCTCCTCAGGCCTCTGCTGCTGCCACCAGGAGTGTGTGGTGCTGGCTTCGATGGAAGTTGATCACTGGGGCTGGAGAAAGTCTTCCTGAGGACCCTGGTTTCAGGTGTGTGTGACATCGGGGTGAGAGGGGAGGTCAGAACCTGTGTTCCAGAACTCCCGTAAATCAACCTCAAAACTCTAAGTTAAAGCCTCTCAGTTAAATGCATTTACCCAACATCTTGCCTTCCGTGTGCATGTGCACAGGTGTGTATGCAGGTGTATGCAGGGCATGTGGAGGGCATGTGCAGGGCATGTGGAGGGCAGAGGCCAACGTTCAGTGTTTGTGCATGTGCACAGGTGTGTATGCAGGTGTATGCAGGGCATGTGGAGGGCAGAGGCCAACGTTCAGTGTCGTCCTCTATTGTCCCCCTCATTTTTTAATATTATTTTAAAATTTTATGTATATGAGTGTATTGCTTGCATGTATTGTAAGTGAACCCGCGTTCTGCAATGCCCAAGGAGATCAAAAGAGGGCATCGGATCCCCTATACCTGGAGTTACGAACAGTTGCGAGCTGCCATGTGGGTGCTAGGAATTTAACCCCAGTTCTCTGCAAGAGCAGCCAGTGCTCTTAACCGCTGAGCATCTCTCCAGTCCCCCCACCTTATTTTTTGACACAGGCTGGTTCCTCACTGAACCTGGAGCTTATGGACTGGCCTAGGCAGGCTGG